TTGTTAAAACTAGACCCCGACTAATCCCCGTATAATTTTCGGTTAACATTGGTTTTATATAAGAGCCCTAATTTTAGTCTCGTATTAGGCCTCAAATACCTCAAGACCGCCTTGTTCTTCGACGATGGTTTGGTTCGTTGACGGTTCACCTCATCGATGGTTCGGTTTGTCGACAGTTCGGCTCATTGACAGTTCGTTTTAGAATAACCGGTTAGGCCCAATTCTTACTTAGCTATTTTTACTGTTGATCTGAGTACGGTAAAACCTGACCCTAACACGATGTATCTAAACGTTTGTGATGAAGAAATTTGGTGGTGAGACGGCTATAGATGTCTTTTGCTGCTAGAAAATGAGATGTGTGATCCGATATTTTTGCACGACTATAAATACTATTCTTTCCAACTAGAGAAATAGAGATCTTGTTAGATTACTTTTATAGCATTCCAGAAACATTTCTCTAAACACTTGCCTTTCTTTATTTTTCAAGACTTAGTCTCATCACTTTTCAAACCATCTTCGATCTCTTTTTCAATCACGGTTGATTCTTCACCCAATATATATATTTTGACAAAGGCGTTATATAAAAAACATGGGGACGATTACATCATGAAAAATATGAAAAGAACAACAATAGAGGTAGGCATAACATGAAGACTACTTACAAAAAAAAAAAAAAACTAAAATCATATGTTACAACAAATAGGCTTCCAATGGCTCTCTATTTTGGGTGCGATGCGATAACCCTAATCGTTACTTACCAACGAATGTTAATTCGTTTTGGGTGCGATGCGATTCATTAACTTTTTAAATGTGATTACTTTTTAATAAATTGTACATAACTCAAATTGTACCAAACAGCTACGATTGTGGTGCGATTATGTATTCTTATTCTTCATTTTACAAATTCACCCTCATTTATATTTGATAATCATATTAAAATTTATAATTGAAATACAATATCACAATTTTCACGGGAAAAATACTAAAAATATTTTTACGGAAAACGTGGATAATATTGTAAAATGAATAACTATTTAAGAAGATAGCGGGAAGCTTAACATTGAACTGCTAGTGGTGACAATAAAAATTGAATGCAGACAGAATACGCTAACCAAACTGGTTAACCATACATTGGCGAGCTAGCCACCAAGCCTGAGAAGACTGGAATTGGTATCCAAACCACTGAGCTCCTCCAAACACAGACGAAGCAAGCAACAACACAAAACTAAGGCATAATAAGGAATCAAGAGCAGAACAACAACATGCACAAACCGGCATACCCACCACACTCAACATATGCCCACAAGGACCTTAAGAGACTTGCCAGTCAAGGAATCACAAGTTTGAGAGCAAAACACTACGAGGATCCAAGCAACTAGGCAGGAGACGAGAAGACACATGCCCAAGATGCCTACACTGCTCAACCATAAGACAAAGCAGTGCAACAAAGATTAACCTACATGGAATCTACCATTATTTGTTAGGTTCGATTCGATATTCGCTTTGAATCTATATTGGATACTTCATAGTAACATTTTAATTGAAAATATATTTTATTTTTTCTAAATAAAAAACATGTTTTATTTTTTATTATTTTAATATTTCATTTTTTA